TGGGGCGCTTACCTCGCGGGCGGGCCGGGCTGCGGGCGTGTGTGTGGCTCGCCCTCGGCGGCCGCTCAGGCTTCTCTATGGGAAAGTGCAGAGGAGCTCGCGGAGCCGCTGTGCCTCCGCTCCACTGTACACTGCTCCACATACAGTACATGCAACCCGAGAGACCGAAAACACTCATTCTATATAAGGCAGCCTGCCATTGGCCCGCGCCCTGACGGGCAGGCCGCGCAGCCACCCAGAAGGCCCGTTACACCCAAACACACGCACACATACACACATTTTACAGAGACACACAAAGATCATCACATTTTCTATTTTCTAATGTTCGGGACCTGTAGACAGTAGGAGAGGACAGGTAGAGAGGCCCAGCCGAGTGGGGCGCAGGGGGGAAACCCTGTCTGCGCCAAGTTGCGAGGCTTCAAACTGGTGTCCTTTTGACTTGGGAGGGTTATGGTAATAAACTACAACTCCACTGGATGTGGAAGTGAGGGGGGGTTTTCATCGCTGCCTTGTGGTGCCCCATGGAAGAGGCTTGCATTGTGTTATGATTTTGCACCCTGACCTGGCTAACAAGTGGCCACTAAAGGCTTTTGTGGACTTAGATGTATTCGTCAATGGGTTAGACCTTGCATAGGCCAAAACAGTGCCAGATAAGTTTATTAGGACTGTAATGCGCGGACGGTGTTAATGCCTTATTGGTGGGTAAATTCAGAGAAATCAATACAACAGCACAGAATCGTTTCGCTGTAACGGCCAGGCTACTTTTAGCTGGTCAGAGGATACCAATCACCTGTATGGATGCACGAACCGTGCCATTATGGTAGAATAAGTCGTGGAAGATTGGCTGTTGATGCTTGGCCTTTAAAACAGACCTTCGAACGCGATATATACGAGATTTATATTTTGCATATCATATGTTAAAAAGATGAGTTTTATTTTACATGTGTCATATTCATATGTGGAAATCCTATGTCAGGTGACTTGTACCTGGTGAACCTGAGGGCAGCTCTTTCTCATTTTTTTTTCTATGATGCATCTTTGGCAGATCGTATTTGACTGTCTGCTATAAACAAGTCAACAGGTGGCTGGGAAAATGCCAGAACTGGAAATCAGAAGGAATCATTTCTAGAAACAACTCCTTAAGCTGAGCAACCTTAAGCAAGTTACTCAGCCCCTACAATGCTCAATATTGGTTTTGGGGTTTGTTTTCAAATTAGAATAAGAAGCTTTTCCCAGCTTCCCTTCATTTAAATGTTTATTCAGCATCTACTATGTGCCAGGCATTATTTAAGGCCCAGGTGTTTTCTTAAGATTCCTTCTGCTTTAAGAGTCTGTGAATTATTCTTAAACACAAATATTTTGAAGATGAAGTAAACATGATTGTATGGCCTCGATGCATAACTTTAAAACTTAAAGGAAATTCGAGTAAGAGAACTTACTTCAAATCTCCTCTTATGACGTCAATGCATCTTACACTTTTCACTCACATCCATGAAGTCCCTCTTATGACGTCAATGCATCTTACACTTTTTACTCACATCCATAAAGTCATCAAATGTGTATGTGTGTGTGTGTATTTGTGTGTGTATGAGTGGAAAAGAAACAGAACTTAAGTTTATGAAGTTTAGGAAACAAAGTGGTATTTAGAAATGTGATTTTTTTATTTTTTAAAGGAAAGTAACTTTCAAAGGGAAAAGTGTATAAAATCACAGCATTTAAAATTGATAATATTAAAAGTTACATCAATAATGCTCTGAGATTAGTTGACAGAAGGAGCAAAGTGTTCTTTAGCCACACTACACTGATCTGAGATTTTACCCATATGAGAAATGAGGCAGGGACAAATTATATAACCTGCTTGATATTATGAAGAGAGCCAGTGAACAAGGAACTTAAACCCAGAACTTTTAATACCCAGCACAGGTTTTCAGTAACTTGTCATCCCATCCCTTCCTTCCAAGGGACAAACTTCACAGATAAGAGAGGCGAATGTAAGAAAAACTTTCTTAGCATTTCACTATGATCCATTTTGAAGAAGAAACAAAAATCAACAAGAATTGCTGTATTTAATTGTTGGGTGAAATGTTGTGAATTACTTGCTAGTATATAACTTTTGTGAAAAATATGAAAGTCCAGCCCACTCCCCACCTCTAACCCCAACTCCAACCATAGGAAAACATTCTTTATTTTCTTATGGTCTCAAAGATATTTTTGTTCAATTATGCTTAGCTTAGCAGAAGTATTTAGAGCTACAGTCTTCAAACTTTTTGATCGTGCTTTGCTATCAGTAAAATGTTTGAGTTTGCGTAAGTAGCCTCTGTATATGTGTATTTATATATACATTAAAAATGCCTCGCCGACTAGAAACATTATTTATTATAAATTATACACTGACAACAAAATGATAAGGCATGAGGTGAAAAATAAAATTAACTAGGAGTTTTCATTTCTTCCATCATCCATAGGTATGTAGGGTCCTATAACACAGTCTTAAAATGTGCACTGGGGTTATTTTGCATTTCACTTTAGAGACCTCTGATAGTGTAAGGTGCTAACTGACCAGGACACATATAAGAGAGAGAAAGTGCATCGAGCTAACCCTTTCTAAGTCATTACTGTTACTAGAAAGCTTGTAGGCACATAGAACTTTTAGAACTGTGAGAATGAGAGCCAGCAGGTGGCAAGGTGGTTAAGGCCCTGGACTTCCCGTGATTGCTAGCGGTTTGATTCCCAGACCCAGCGACTAATTCCATCACGCCAGGCACGTAAAGGCTTGTGCCCAAAATCCCCAGAGGAGAATTGTGGAGGGGTTGTGACTTGACCATCCTGCCTTACGGATGATTTCTCGCTTTCCCTCTCCTTTTCCTCTCTGTCTGTCTCTCTCTGGTGAGCACACACACCCTATGGGGAAAAAATAAAAAAAAATAGAGAATGACACTTTTTTTAAACACATATTATATGGGGGAGGAGTCTTCAGAACGTTTATAGAAAATATACATTAGGAGAAAACTGTGCATAGATTTCAAAAAGCTTTCGGCCCTAAAATGAACTCGTACTTTAACTCATCGTACTTGGACATTTTCCACAACTTCTGAACCCCCTTCGTGTTTGTATTAGGCATCATGTGGTAGTGTGAACCATTCAATATTTTTCTGCAGAACATTTATCGAGAAGGTAGTCTGTACTAGGCACTTGTGCTTACGAGATGCTAGGGAAGAAAACTGGCCGGCTCCTAGGAGAAGCAACGCAATAGCTTTCAAGGGCCTGTCTAATAGGTAATGCCTCACCACCGAGTAAGAAAGGAGGCTTATCTAACTTTTATATGGCATTTTACCAGGAAATACTATATTCCAAAATACTTTTTTTTAGGTTTTTATTGTCTCATTTCAGAATAACTATCAAGAAATTTTAATTGCCAATGATGTTCAAAAACTAAAAATATATTCAGGGAAATATCATAGTTTTTGTAGAGTTGATTTAATTTTTATAGGGTAGGGATATAGAAGTAAAAACAACTATTGAATAGTGGGGTAAAATGACACTAAAAGGAATTTGTCCTTTTTCTTTCTTGTTTTCACATCTGATGACAAATCACAAGGCTGACCTCATGGCTAGCATATTCTTCTTTTTCATGGTCTTGATAGTTCATTTTCTTAATTTTATTTTATGAGTCTTTTGCTACGAGCTACAGAAAATAATTTTGAGAAAGTAATTTTAAATATCTATGTAAATGCATATATCCAAGTCTGTATATTGCTTCAATATGTGTCTACAATTAACATATTATTTCCTTACTTATGTATTATTTTCTGTATATAGTCCTAGTTCAAATCCTGATCTTTCTGCTCCCAAGATGTGTAACTTAATTCTTTAATCACTCTCTAAGACTTAGTTTCCTTTTTTTCTGAAATAGAGATAATTAAGGTGCTCATAAATGATGGGCCAGCAGTTTGGGGCACTGGATCCCACATGGCTGGCTTTGCTGTTTGAGTCCCGGATCAGGCGGCTTGGGAATCATGCAGGGCACAGGTGTGAATGTGCCCAGAATTTCAAGAGGAGAAAGGAGGAGAAGTGATTTCCACCTGGTCATCCCTCTGAGAAGTGATCTCTCTACTCTCGCTCTCACTTTCACTCTCTCTCTGTCTCTCCCCCTCTTTCCATACTGCACATACCCTATAGCAAAAACTAAAAACAAAAAGAGTACTCACAAAGAAGATAATATAAAATACGTAAGCCTGGAACATAATATTAACATTCCGTCAGTATTATTTTTATTTATCTTTCACAGGTACAGCTGCCTTACAAGAACTTGGTAAGATTTACCTAGAATATCAATGGGCTTTATAGAACATGTTGCAACTTACTTGCCCAGTGTTGGCAGCTGCCTTTTAGCTACTCTCTACCAGCTCCCATCTCTGCACATAAAAGGGATGTCAAGTCTCATCCCAGGATAAAGCAGTTTATTGGGTGGGCATTAGTAAGCACCTAAAACAGCAAACTTGTAATAAATCATTCTTTGCAACAAGCCTTGTTTTTGTGCATTGAAACTCTAGATGGTTACAATGATGAGGGTCTGCCTTACAGAACAATTTATGACTTGTACTTGACCTCGCTGAGCTTTTTTTTTTTTTTTCCTCCATGAGAGAAAAATAGGGAAAATCAGGCCTGTCTCCTTAGGGCCAGTGCAAAGGGACTAAAAATTGCAGCTCTGACAGTTTGACCACTTCTCAACCCCAATACATAATCTTGAAGGGAGCCTAGTTCTACTGGGTTCCAACAGAGTTGGGATAAGACAAAAAGGGATAATCCTCTATTTTCTAGAGCCCATGCTCAGCAAACTGTCGTGATATTCCCATTTTCCTATGATCTTCTGTAGCATTTTGTCTATATTACTCTTAAAGCATTCGTGTACTCACCTTGTTTTACATTATTTATGTATTGATAGAGATCTTTATTTGATGGCAAACACCTTGTGGAAAATGATGATGTCTCCTTCAACATTTTAGTTTTCAAAAGTGGCTAGAATAGTAACTACTGCATTCCCCAATATGTAACAGTAACTGGACAAAGATTTATAAAATAAGTGAAGAAAACAAACACCAAAAAAACACCCCCATATATCATAAGAAAGCTCATAGAGAATCTAGGG